AAAAAAAAAAAAAAAAAAAAAAACAAAACCTCAGCTTGTATTTCCTAAATGCTCAGCACTAAGAAAAGCCCTTTCCTGCATAGTACGAGGACTATGTGTTCTGCAATCCAGATGCCTGTGTGAATCCTCAAAACACCAATAAGGAGTATACAGTTGGGCAAAGTGCTTTGCCTGCCTGTGCCTCCATTTCTTTGGTTGGAAAGTAGGACAACACCAATACTAACTTTAAGGAAATACTATCAGTGTTGTGAATAAAATCTCATTAAAATACTAAATTTGAACCACAGCCTGGCCATATCCTTGGCCACACTAGTTTGCAGGGGAGGAGGGGGCAGAACTTTTCCTCATTTTTTTTTACCAACAGGTCTCTGAGACAGAATCTACTTGTCTAAGGTCACAGAGTTAACAGGTGGCGAGCTGGGATTTGAACACAGGCAGCGGAACCTAAAGCCTAGAAAAGCTTGGCGAGCACCATGAACACAACGACACCATGTGAGGTGCTGCATACACAGAATGAGAGAGATTCTTTTTTTAAGATTTACAACAATTTTTTGTTGTTGTTGTTGTTTTTGTTTTTGTTTTTTGGAACTGGGGATTGAACTCAGGTCCTTATGCTTGCCAGGGAAGTGCTTATTCCACTGAGCCATCTCCCTGACCCCAGAATGAGAGAGATTCTAGGGTCCAAGGAGATAGCTCAGTAGAAAAAAGAGTTTGTCTGGCAAGCGCAAGGGCCTGAGTTCAATCCCTGGTTCTGCAAAAAAAAAAAAAAGAGAGAGAGAGATACTTAGGGATCCCTGCACGGTGAGATCCATACAAGAGAGCTACTCAAAGAATGGGGAGAGGGGCTGGGGAGATGGCTCAGTAGGATAAACGCTTGACTGGCAAATGCAAGGTTCTGAGTTCAATCCCCGGTTCCGCCAACGGTACTACCCGGGATGAGTCTCCAAGACTGGTGAGGAACTTGCTAACCAAGGAAGATGAGGCCATTCTGGTAAGTCAGGACTCTGAACACCAAAGGGGGGGGGGGGATGGCTCAGTGGTCTAAAGCACCTACTTAGAACAAGCTAAGCTAAGCAAAGCACAGGGACCCTGGTTCAATCCCCCAGCACCACATGCCAGCCAGCCCCGCCCCCTGGCGGGCTGAGCTGGCCACACACACACACACTAAATAAATAAATAAATACTTAAAAAAAAAAAAAAAAAAACACCAAAGGGAACAGAGGGAGATGACAGAGGGATAGAGAAGGTGCTATAAGGTGAGGCTGGGAAGGGAGGTTGGGGCCGCTTGTCATGTGTACAAGATTAAGTTTTATTCTGTGTATATAATGATTCTCAAAACTGAATGTCTGGGGAAGTTACCTTTAATGACCGTAAAACAGCAGGAGCAGATCCCTGTCCTTTCTTTTACTGCTGGGGCACCACCAAAGGTATGACACAGTATTGTAGTAAGTCCTGTGATGGATTTAGTAACACAATACTGGCAATGGAATGAAGGGAGACAGAGGACTGAGTATAAACAGCCAAACAGCAGCAGATAAGAATGAGAGTTAGAAATTATGGTAACTTTTATCTACAGATACACAAAGTCACGGTTTCTCAACCTTGGTGCTGTTAACATTCTGGCCTAGATAATTCTGCCTTGGGGAGGTCCTGGCCTGTGCAACGCTAGACATTTAGTAGTATTCCCAGCTTGCACCACCAGATGAATAGTGTCTCGGCCCACTTACGTGGGGGCAGCCAAAAAAGTCTCCGATGCCTCTTGGGGACAAACTCAAACCCCAGCTGAAAACCATCGCATTACACCCTACCAGCCCTACTTTACAGGGGAGGAAATTCAGGCATGGGAAGGTACAGAAAGGCAGCAGCAGGGCTTGGCCTCCTAGCCCTTGTACTTATTTGATGGCAGACAGGGTGACAGGGAGGGGATGAAAGAGGAAGGTTCAAAGGTGAAACAACCCGGGAGTGTGGAGGCACAGCCTGGAATCTCAGCCCCCTGCGAAGCTAAGGAAGGAGGATCTCAAGTTCGACCCCAACTCAGCCAACTCAGAGCCTTAGCAGACTTTGTCGAAGGGCAAAGATGTAGCTCAGGGCAAAGATCCCCGGTCCAATCCCCAGGAGGCAAAAGCCAAAGGCAAAGTGACATCTCAGCACTGGCCACTGAGAGACAAAGATACTAAATAAATACTTTGGATTTTAATCAAAGTAAGATGTGTTTGCTCAGAAAGGAAAAAGCCTGGTTCCTTGCGGCGGCGGGAGCGAGGAGGAGGTAGGAGGTTTTAATTCAGACGGAAGAGAGGAAAGCACGGTAGGGCAGGATTTAGGATAGGTGGTGCAGAACATCTAAGATCCAAATCCTGGCTGGGCCCTTTCCAATTGGTGTGCTTCCCCTCCCCCACCCCAGGCCGTTATTTAATCTCCACATCTCACTTGACTCCTCCGTAAAATCGAGATAGGTAGGTGTCATTACTCATCGACCTGAAGTGCAGGTGAGCTCAGGCAGAGCTAAACCGCAACCCCGCGCGCGGTGCGGTGGGGCGCCCTCTCCTCCCTAAACTTCTCAGTACCTCAAAACCCCTTAACGCTCCACACTGAGCACCCCACCGAGTCACCGGGACCCCTCCTCCTCCTCTTCCTCCAGACCGACAGAACGTCCCCGTGAGGCTTTAGGGGGCGCCAGCAGCCCTTTCGCTGCGCACTCTTCGGGGTCCTGAGGGTCATCAGAAGCACGCGGGGAACTGAGAGACTCCGAAATGAACCAGGTAGAGTTCAACCTAAACCACGAAAATCTCAGTTCGGCCCCCCGCAGGGCCGAGATCAAAGTCAACCACTGCCCCAGGCCAACGCGCTCAGCCCAGCTCCGGGAGGCGGAGGAGAGGCGCCCAGATTTGGAAACCACCGGTGCTCCGCAGCCCGGCTGCAGGGACAGAGAGCTGAGAGTTCCAAGATCCAGAAAAGGAAAAGTATGGAACGGAACAAGCAACTGAAAATTAGGAGGAAGAGGCGGCCAAACAGAAAGCGCCGGGAAGCAAGAGTTTTCCGGGGCGCGCAGCCTCCAACACCTGGGCAGGGGTGCGGGAACAAAGCAGCGGCTTCGGGTCAGAAGAGTTCGGGGTATTCGCGAGGAGGGGACACAGGGGAGAAGCTCGGGCCCAAGGCAGCGCCCAGCGCCCCTGCGCCCCGGGAGCGCCCTGGGGTGCCGCTTACCTTCCCCAGGACCGCGGGCGCGCACTTCCGGGGGCTCCGGAGCCGAGCTGGAGACCCGAGCTGATCACCCAGAGAGGACGCCAACAGCGCCGCCCGGGGTCGGGCCGCCGGGGTCTGGGCGAGCTGGGGGTGCGGGGTCCCGGCCTCGACGCTCACAGGCTGCCGAACCCAGCCTCGCCCGCGCCGGAGAAGTGCGGCTCGGCGGGAGGAAAAGGTTGTCTCATTTCCTCCGCTCTCCCCCTCCTCCGCCGCCCCGGCTCCCGAGCGGCCCTCCCTCGCCCCCGCCCCCTTCCCCAAGCCCGACGCGAACCCGTCCGGCTGCGGCGCCGCCCTCCGCGCCAAGTTAGTTCACCACGCGCCGGCGACGGTCTCGGGAGCCGGGAGCGCCGCGCTCCGCCAGCGTCAAACCTCCAGCCCGTCCCCTCGCCGCTACGAGCCCACATGTGAAAGCAGACCTCCAAGTCCCTGCCAGCACCCGTCTTTCATTCCTGCCCCGTCGCCTGCCTTAAGCCTGTATTAAAACACACAACCCAGACAGGAAATAACCACTTAACTTTTGTTAAATTGGATGCCCCCACCCACCCTCCCACTGGAGAGTTGAAAGCCTGATGCATAATCTCCAAGGAATGTTCGTTTTTATCGGAAAGAGAGCAGCCAGAGCCTTTGTTTGCCCTTGCTTACTGGAGTTTCAGGTTTTGTTTGTGAAATTTAACGAGCGTTTATTGAGAGTCTGATGGGTGCTGGAAATGCTAGAAGCAGAAGGGCATCCAGTTCCAGACAATCAACAGGTGATCAGGAGAGAAGAGGCCCGGATGATGCGTAGAGGCATATATCTGGGATGGGAAGGGCTGTTCCACTGCCACTGAGTGAAAACAAGATCTGGCAGGGACCAGAAAGTCTTGGGCGAACTGTCAAGCAAAGCACAGTGCCGGGACAGTGCAGGTAGGACACAGACAGGAGAGCGCTGTCTACCTGGACGGGGAGCTGCGGGGCATAGACAAGATCTGAATGCCTGCTGTGCACAGGCTGGAGGTGAAGAGAGGTCGAAGGAGAAAGCTAACTCCTGAAGAACATCCAGTGACCAACGGGTGACCAGAATCCCAAAATATCCCCTGGAGTCACCGCTGGAAGTGTGGTCAAGGGGCTGTGAGTATTAACAACTTGTGGAAATGTATTAGAGATGGATATTCTCAGGGTCACCTTCACCTAACGGTTTAGAATTTGTATTATAAAAATAAAATCACTAAATGATTCAAGTCCACATTATTTTTGGAAGTGTTGCTCTCTGGTCCACCCACTGTATGTTAGACGGGCTCTACCATAGTCTTCGGAGCTCTCACTGGATTTTAAAAACATCTGGGGAGCTTTTAAAACCTATAGAAGGCTCCAGGGCCCCACCCCCACCCCAACACACACAAATACTGACTTAATTGGTCTAGGGTGGGGCCTCCATATTAGGGTTTTTAAAATGTTCTCCAGATGATCTAATAGCCAGAATTGAGAACCACGGTTCTATCTTACTCAGGAGCTACTTCACTTAACCTTGAAATGCAGCTCATAGTAAAGGAAAGCAACACCACATGTAAATAAGAACACACTCACTCTCCTCTGAGGGTAGTTGATCTTGGAGAAAGTGCCTTTGTTTCCCCAATTAATCAAACAATGAGGTTGTAGTCCCAGACCGGTCACTGAATTAACTATCTAAACTTGAGCTAACACTCCTCTCTCAGACTTCAGATTGCTTATCTGAGCAAAAGAATGCACCCTAGATTCTAAGTCCTACACTCTGGCATGCCAGATACCATCACCCAAGCTCCTTTGAACTCCCCAACTTCATAAGTAGGCAGATGGAGAGGTGCGATGGAGAGCAGGTTTCCTGATGTAACACTCCCTGTGCCAGCCCAAGGCCCATGATGCATGAATTTCAGATACCAGAGGTTTGTGTGTTGAGCACAGGGCCACTGGTACTCAGTAAATAAATATATGTTGATAGAGTGAATGAATAAATGAATGAATAGTTGCCAATAGGTAAGCATAGACTCTCATGAAGCCTTTTGCCTCCAGAATACTTTATATTCATCACCCACCCAAGCCCAGACTAAAGAAAGGACTCAGAAGCACTCAGCTGGCTTCAGATGAAACACTATCAACTCTACTATGAACTGCTGATGTGCTGAATACTTAGCACACAGCAGTCATTAAATTAAGCATTCTACTTATAAACATTGCCTTGTTTCATTAAAATGGGCAGATATGGTGGACCCTCTGCACTTCAACAGCCTTTAGGAATCTCAGGTTTCTTGGTCACTTTGCCATCACCAAGACCTGACACCCGGAATTTAAAGGAAGAGAGGTCGATTTTGGTTCGTGGCTTAGTCTATCATTGGCTGGCTCCAAGACAGGGTGGCAAGGTAGCTTTTCCTCAGCCAGGAAGCAGAGATTCAAGGGAAGAGATGGAAAAGAAGTGACCTTCTGGATCACTCCCCCAGGGACTCAACTCTTTGACCAGACCTCCTAACAGAGTCAACCATAGTGTTCCCCAGTGCATTCACCTTCTGAACATTGACACTTGGGGGGGGGGGTGTCATTGTAGATCTCATCTGTAGTGTCCTTCTCTCTAATCACCAAAAGACTCATGCACCTTTGTAAGAGTTAGCAATTTTTTTTTTTTTTTTTTTTTTTAATGTGTGTAGTACAGGGTCTACAGGGTCTCGCTATACAGATAGGACTCATAGTGATCCTCCTGTTTTCAGCCTCCCATGCACTGGGATTGTAGGAGCATACCACTGTGCCCAGTCTCAGTCTGGTCTCAGCGTGCCCTGGGGGTGGTGCTGGCACAGCCCTCCGGGAGATCAAACCTGGGTCCCTGTGTCTGCCTAAGCAGGCACTTTAGCCCGCTGAGCTATCTGGCCTGCCCTAGAGTCAGCAAATTCTTAACAGTTCCAGCATTTTTGAAAAGTCCAAGTCCAAAATCCCCTCTGATACTTCAAGCAAACTCTTATCTATGAGCTCTGTAAAATGGAAAATAAAAGAAAAATAAAAAATAAAAGCTGGGGATATAGCTCTGCAGCACAGTGCCTGCCTGGCAAGCGCAAGGTCCTGAGTTCAATTCTTAGTACCACAAATAAATAAAAATGAAAAAGTTAAACACTGCAAAAGTACTGGGGAACTGGATAAATATTTCCATTCCAAAAGGAAGAAATACAGGTGAAATAGTGGGATCAAAGCCAAACCCAATCTCTACCAAGCAAATGTTAAATCCTGTAGCTCCATGCACAGTGGCCAGGACAAGCTGTGAGGAGAGGTGGACTCCAGACAGTTAGACAGCTCTGTCCCATGTCACTGCTGGTGGTCAGGACTTCTCCCCGCCTGGCTTCTGGAGCACAGGAGCCTGAGGCTGTCTTCTCAAGGAGAGTCTTAAGAGTTTTGCAACCTTGAGTCTGCAAAGGGTGGAGCCTGTAACTGTGAGGCCCTCCAGTCATTTTTCCTATTGTCTTCCACAGTTGGCTTCTTCTTAATGCTAAGTTTTTCAGCCACCAAGCTCTCTTCTGCTCCTACATGACGTGTATTCTCTTTCAGATTAAACTGAAAACATTTTCAGGATAAACCTTGCCAAAAACCCTCCTTGGTTTTCGTGCACAGCCTGGACCTCGAGGTGCCTCACAATTTCTTCTACCTATTAGTCCACTGCCCTTAATCTCAGTATTCTATAGTTTTACAACACAGCAAAATGGAAACAAATCTTCTGCCACAGGATACAGATGAGTTTTACCCCTGCCTGGAGTAAAACTGCAAATAGAATCCTTGTTCACACCTGAAACTTCTTGAGCCTGGACTTTACCTTGAATTTCCGTCAGCATTCTGATCTTCTGAGATCTAACCTTAATTTTCCATCAAACTTGGCTTACAGCATTCTAGGGCTGTTTCTCCCACTCCTCCAGCCTTTTCCAAACTCCTCCCACAAGCCAGTTCAAAAGATATCTGAACCACATGATCAAGTGTGTTCACAATGACAACTTCACTCCCCTGGTGCCAAAATCTGTCTTAGTTACTCTCTTGTTACTAAGACACAATACCTGACACGCACATTTCAGTCCGGAGTAGTCTGGCTTTAAGGCAGGACAGCATGGCACAGCCTCATGATAGAGAAAACACTGCCTACCTAGCCCTGAACAGCAGTGAGGTAGAGCACCACCATAATCCAGTCACCATTTGCCTTAGTTACCTTCTCTTGCTGGGACAAAATCTCCAACACCCACAAGTTGAAAGAGGTATTGTTTACTTTAGCTCACTGAAATCTGTCAAGGTTTCAGCCCATATTCAGCCTGTTCTGAAACAAGGCAGCATGACAGAAGGGGATCCCAGAGTAGAAACAGTCCATGGCAAGGCAGACAGGAGGCAGGTAGCAGCAAAGCAGTGAGCCTCCCTTTTGTTTTTATTCAATTCAGGCTACATGCCTATTGGTTGTTGCCACCCACTCCCAGGGTGGGCCTTCCCACTATCCACACCCAGAGCTATGCTAAATCAATCAAGGGACTAATTTAGTTGTTACATACTCTTCATCCACCTTCACTCACCAGCCACCTCTGAGAAGCTTCACGTACAGGAGCGTGAGGCTTTGAGGTGACAACTACATGGAAGCTGTAACGCCTGCTAAACACATGAGGCTTTAGGGACCATTTTAGGTCTAAACCATAACAACAAATATAGAGAAACTAGGGTCTTGCCAGCTAGGGCAGCCTACGCTTTTCATGGTGTAGGAAGATGTAGGTGCATCTATTACTGTCCAGAGAGCCCCCTTGAGATGCCTCCAGACCATGCCTGAAGATGAGCATTGAAGGAAGTGACTATTCCAGGGTCCTACAGAGCACCACGCTTCCAGGAGCTGCTAGAGGCCATACGGGTTAGGCTGACTTGGGAGATTACTTCTCTTTTTTTTTTTGTTGTTGTTGTTTTGTTTTGTTTTTTTGTGGTACCAGGGATTGAACTCAGGACCCCATGCTTGCCAGGCAAGCACTTATTCTGCTGAGCTATCTCCCCGGCCCTTGGGAAACTACTTCTTAAAGGTTCCTGTTTCCTGATTGTGTGTGGCATAAGTGTGTCAGTTTTTCTTTATCAGAGCAGACCTAGAAAAATACAATTTATAAAAAGAAAAGGTTTATTTTGGCTCATAGGAGGTTTCAATGCATGGTCAGTTGGTGCTGTTGCTTTGGGGACTGTGGTAAGGCAGCAAATCACGACAGGAAATGCCCAGAAGAGCAA